TATACAAGTTATTTTTGAAATCAACTTCTTGAGGGATGATTTACATATAATAAAATACACTCATTTCAATTGTTTGAAGAGTTTAAAAATATATGTATATGTATTTTTTATTGATTTCAGGAAGGGATAGGGAGAGAGAGAGAAACATCAATGATGAGAGAATTATTAATTGGCTGCCTCCTGCATGCCCCCTTCTGGGGACTGAGCCCACAACCTGGGCATCTGCCCTGACTGAGAATCAAACTGTGAGCTCCTAGTTCATAGGTTGACTTTCAGTCACTTAGCCACTTTGGCCAGGTTGTTTGCAGAGTTTTGATAAATGTCTGTACTGGTGTATAGCTCTCACCACAACTAAGAACCCCAGAAAGTTCTCTTGTAAAGTCAGTCTCCACCCCCAGTCCCAGGGGACAGTTGTTCCGGGGTTTTCTGTCAGCATAGATTACTTTTGTTTGTTCTAGAGTTTTATATAAATGAGATCATACAGAATGCACTCTTGTATTTGGCTTCTTTTGCTCAGTATAATGTTTCTGAGATTTATCCGTGTTATTGTGTGTATCAGTTCTTTCTGTTTAAAAAATACATTGTTATTGATTTTTTTTTCTAATCGTCACTTGAGGATATTCTTTCATTGATTATTAGAGAGCGTGGAAGGGAGGGGGAGAGACAGAGAGAAAAACATCGATGTGAGAGAGACACATCAGTTGGTTGCCTCCTGCACATCTCCCAACCGGGGATTGAGCCTGCAACTGAGGTACATGCCCTTGACCGGGGATTGAACTGGGACCCTTCAGCCCTTGGGCCAATTCTCTATCCACTGAGCAAAACTAGGGACTGATTGATTGATTGAGAGAGAGAGAGAGAGAAAGAGAGAGAGAGAGAAACATCAATCGGCTGCCTCCTGCACACTCCATACCAGGGATTGAGCCCAAAATCTGGGCAAATGCCCTGACTTGAATCAAACTAGCAACCTTTCGGTGCACTGAAGATGCTCAACAAACTGAGCCACACCGGCCAGGGCAGTTCTTTTTTTTTTTTTTTTAATCCTCACCCGATTTTCCATTGATTTTTAGGGAGAGTAGAAGAGAGAGGGAAAGGCAGAGAGAAACATCAATATTAGAGAAACACATCGATTGGTTGCCTCCTGAACCCCTACCAGAGGCCAGGCCGGGGAGGAGCCTGCAGCCAAGGTATGTGCCATTGACCGGAATTGAACCTGGGACCCTTTGGTCCACAGGCCAACGCTCTATCCACTGAGCCAAACTGGCCAGGGCCAGTTCTTTATTTTTAAATTGCCAAGTAGTATTCTGTTGTATGGCTATATGCAATTTGTTGATGGTTTCTAATTTTTGGCTACTATGACTAGAGCTGTTAGAAACATTCAGGTACAAGCCTTTCTATGAACATAATATGTATTTTGTTTTAGTATCAGTATCCTCTTTATTAATTACAGTGTGGTATACAGGGCTGAAAAGGTTAGTGTTTCTTTATTTTTATAAAGAAATTTATAAATATTAAAAGTTATGTAAGGTTACGTTGATTATTTTTGTTCCCTCATCTATTAAAAGGGGGTAATACCTGCCCTGTTTATATTATATGTGAAAACAGTTAGAAATTTACAAACGTCCATACAGGTCATTAATTAGCAGGGCGTCAGCCCAAAACATAATACACTTTTTATTATAATATTTGAAGGGTGTTGTTTAATCTATTGACATTAGATTTCAGCCTGAGCCTAATTAAAAGATTCTTCTATTTTTCTTCCTTTTTAGAAACAGATGGAGGAGCTTTTATTATTGTCAAAGGAAAGTAATCAGAGCAACCACACTATTTGGTTTGGACACTATACCACATTTACTATTCTTTCTCCATCACCAGGAGTTCGGTCAATAATGAGGTGAGGCAGGCTTCTAAAATTAAAATTCTTTGTTTTTAGTTATTTTATATTGCTCTATCTATCTTGCTTTTCTGAAGAAATATTTGTATGAGTTTGGCACACAAGTTATTTTTATTCATTATTCCATTTATTTTTCATTGGTTAGTTCAGCTATAGCTTATTTGTGTGGGCACCTCCATACACTTGGTGGACTGATGCCTGTTTTGCACACTCGTCACTACCAGGGCACTTTGGAACTTGAGGTGGGAGACTGGAAGAACAACAGAAGGTAAGGGGTAGTTACCCCACAGAATAAAACTTACACATGTTAACACATTATGGACCAGTAGTTTTATTGCTAGCTTTACCCAGTTTCTATTGAACTAGTACAAAAAATATTTTACATAAATGTTAAAGGCATGCTTTAAAATTAAATACCCATTGCATTTTGAAGTTATTTATTACATGTCTGTACAAGCTAATATCTTTTTAAAGTATGATATTTTGTAAAACACTGTAATATGAAGTGAAAATTCTCGTGATTCATCTGAAATGTGTTAAGTTTGCTAAAGCAATAATAGCTTTCTATACTCTCCAGTGCGGATTAACAACAAAAAACAAAAAAAATGTAGTGATGGGCCCTGGCTAGCTTGGCTCAGTGTATAGAGCATCGGCCTGCGGACTGAAGGGTCCCGGTCAAGGGCATGTACCTTGGTTGTGGGCACATCCCCGGTGGGGAGTGTGCAGGAGGCAGCTGATCGATGTTTCTCTCTCATCGATGTTTCTAACTCTCTATCCCTCTCCCTTCCTCTCTGTAAAAAAAATCAATAAAATATATTTAAAAAAAAAAGAGAACTGTTTAAAAAAAGACGAATTCTGGAGGATCTTATTAAAAACTAGAGGTCTGATGCATGAAATTCATGCATGAGGGTGGGGGGGGGTCTCTCAGTCTGCGGGCACATCCCCAGTAGGGGGTGTGCAGGAGGCCGCTGATCGATGTTTCTCTCTCATGGATGTTTCTAACTCTCTATCCCTCTCCCTTTCTCTCTGTAAAAATCAATAAAATATATTAAAAAAAAAGAGAGAACTGTTTAAAAAAAAAAGAATTCTGGAGGATCTCATTAAAAACTAGAGGTCCGGTGCATGAATTTCACCGGGGTGGGGGTCCTTAGGCCTGGTCTGCGATCAGGGCTGCTCTGGGCCTTCCAGCTGCCAATGGGGGCCTTCCTTTGTTCCACGTCTCCCCCTGGTGGTCAGCACATGTCATAGCAAGCGAACGATCTCCTGGTCAAACTCCCGTGAGGACAATTTGCATATTAGACTTTTATATATATAGAATATATTCCACGTCACCA